TTTTTTTTTTTTTTTTTTTGTATTTTAGTTGCATATTTGACAATTGGGCTGCTTGTTTTAGGAGCCATCTGCAATATCTGATTTTGGTGAATGTATGCATCATATCTGGAGAATAGAACCACGCCTCTGCGCTGAATTTGTTACACAAAACTCTAGACTTATTGAACTGCCAGCTGTTGAAAAGGTTTAGTTTTATATCCTTATGTGCTCATGTATATATACATATGTATATATACCTGTAAATTTTCATAGCACTGCCAAAGACCCTTAATATACTGGAACAATCGCCCACCTTCTTCTTAGGAGTTTATTGAAAGCAGTGGCATTGCGGACGCCAAACATCATTACTGTTAAAAACAGAATATTTGTTTTTTGAAACGAAGAACTGACCGTTTATTAGACAACCGCCTCCTCGAAGAAAATAATATCTGAGACATGGTTTATGTTTGACTTTCAGTCAGTAATTTGTGCATATCAGTGAAAAAAAGCCTTTAAAGAGGAAAAATACCACTTTGATGCTCCAACGCACCTACGCAGTAAAGGTAAAACTACAAAATAAAAAGCTCTGGACAGAGAATTCCTGCAAATTCCCGGTTTGCGAGCGTTTCACGAAATCACTTATGTCTCACACCATAATCTGAGTGATACTGCTTATCTACAGCTGTTAGGTTGTTCCAAGAAAATGCAGGATTTCGAATTTCGAAGCTGAACTCCATGTATTGTTTATAATTCTACAGAGGTTCGCCACTTAAAGCAAGTTGGAAAAGTGAGGCTTGCAAGTAGTACCGCTCAAATTTTTGAATGAAGCGCGAAGTAATCACATTTCTAAATCTGCCTGTCCTTTATTGTGTTCACTGATTTTATACTTTGCTGCACAGCGAAAAATGAATTTTTAACGAAAACCAGCAGGATTCACCGTTGTGCCGGCATGAAGTGCCGAAACAATGCTTCAAGCTAAACTTGCTCCAAGCAAAAGTCCTGTTAGCTGTTTAACATACATCTAAATTAAGCAATTGCCTTTTCTTTTTGAAAATCAGGTTGGCAGCTAAGAAGCATCGCAGCAAAATCAGCGAATTTCACCTGGATCTTTAAAGCGCAGTACGTCCAAATGCGAAAAGCGCAAGAAGTAGGTCATTTCAGGCAAAAATTTGCAAGAATTTCGTACTGAATTTTTATGCACTTGAGGGATCATACCTGACGTGGCGAAATGGAGGGTTGGTCCGCCATATATGGGTTATGCCAAATAGGTATGCGTTGCATTTTTTTTTTCTGAACAAATAGGGTTAGGAACCGAAGAAGGTCTTGGGTGCATTCTGATATTTTATCCTATTATTTCTGGCTTCTAGGATTCGAAATTACCGGTTCCCCCAATTAGAATTATTTTAGCTGACCTTGCCAATAGAAAGCTGAAATAACTGAGCATAACAACAAGTTTTATTTTATACGGGTCGTTTTCAAATCTGAATTTTACTTCTGTTCAAACCAAAACCGGGACACGTTATGCAGCGGAACGATGCTTCTTTTAGGACATTTTTGGATTTATCATGCGCTGACAAATGCTTTGAGCATATCCTTGCTCGTACGATGATGTTTGATAGAAATGCTATTTCAAGGTATAAGTTGACAGTTACTCGAGAAGTTGGAAGCAAATGTTATCTTCAAATTGCTCTTGTGCAGATGTAAATTCGATACGACTTCAATATTGCCAAGTTTGCTTACACTCTTTAGTGCGAAGCCAACAACGTTAAAAGCAGCTTCCACGTCTGAGCTCGCTTTTTTTAACTTTTATAATTGTACAAAACTTTTTGGCTCTGTGATTGGTTAGAGGCGCCGCCTTTATGTTCCCTCATTTTTCTGAACCGAGCGCTAGAAAAAGCAAATTCCAGAGTTCTGTTCCATGTCGGCATAAAATAGCGCTGGTCTGTTTAAATTAATTGAGACTCAAACTGCCTACGGGTTGCTTTTCTTGCCGTACAACAAAGCACGCCATCTTTTCTGAAACAATAAATAGGGTTTTGAGCGTACAAATTAAATATGTTGCATATAAATTGGTAATGCCGTGAGATGTATAGTCTGGAAAACTAATTGTTGAGACATTTTATTCAAATAGATTTTTGCATCAGCATTAATTGCTTTTTTAAGCTTATTTTTACCGGCTTTTGAAAGTGCAATGGAAACAGTAGTGGAACGTATGGCTGTTCTGAACATATCAAAAGTAGAGCTGGTCGCACTGAGTGCCGTACTGCTCCTTGATCCATGTATGGCTTTCCCGACAGTGATCAATTTTTGAAGTTCAAGTTTTCTGTCGATAAGACGTATTTGACTATTAATGTGCTCGCAATTCCAGATTATTAGTAGATATGCCAAAAAGATTGCACCGGGAATGAAGCCTTTGTTGTTATCGCAGTGAAAAATGCTGTGCCAAACTGCTCCAAGCTCGGTTATCTTGGGTTATCTTACATAGCTTCTCGATCCTGGATTGAAATTTTGGTTAACAGGCTGGAAAAA